CATACATGGTCGACGCTACTCTGGTCGAGTCGGCCTTCGACGATCGCCTCGCGCGTTATCTCCCTCGCTGGTATAGCACACATGAGGCCGCTTTCACACAGGGTGCTTTTATAACGGTCAATTGTCGGATTTATTTTATTTCTTGAGATATCTATATTTGTGTCTCCTATTATGATTAGATCATCCTGTGACGGTATCTTCCTTATTAATATTCCTAGTTGATCTATAAATTGCTTTTTATTTTTACTCGGTGGTCTGTAACATGCTATAAGATGTAAAGTTCTTGTTGTCGTAATTATTCGTCCATATACAGTTTCCAATGCAGTTGTATTTCCTACTTCCATTTCAATATTTAGTCCTTCCTTACAGTAGATAAGTATTCCTCCTCCTCTTTTCACTTCTCTGGTATTCGCATAGCTATTATATCCTTGAATCTCGTAAAAGGGTAATTCTTCTTTCTTTATGTTTACTTCTGTTAAGATTATAATATTTATAGAGCATAAAGTTTGTTGTAATAGTACTGTTAACTCATTAAAATGTTTTCTTAAAGATCTAATATTTAGGTGTAAAATATGTATTTTATTATAGTCTGTGCCCCATTGTTTACTCCAAGTAATAATATTTTTAAATCTATTAAATTTTATATCTGTGATGCTTTCATTAAAATTTTCGAATTTTAACGTTAACAAAAAAAACCACGTAGTGTATCCACATTACGCTAGTTGCATATTTATGCTTTAAGATTTTGTATATCTTTCTCACATGAAATCCTGTGTATTTTAGTTTCATTTTCTTTTTTTAACTAATATATTAGAATTCTGTATCCATATGTATTTATAAATTTGTTTTAGTTCATTCTTTGTGGTCCAAAATAATTGTCGCTTGTATTTAGGTAGGTCCTCATTAATATAAATCGAACTTTTGGAATTATTACCATATACGTGATCATTTGTTAATGTCGTTTTGCGAAGACTGAGCCATTTATCACGCGCCGATCTCGACCGAAGAGTAACTATAACTGGTTGCGGCTTTGTTTTTTCTGGTTTTGGTCTTCCTACCCTCTTTACGTCGACAATATCAGCCTTGCACAAGTTATATTTTTCCGCTATAACATTCACGACCTCAAAAATTTGTTCATTATTTTGCCTCTCCAGACCAGCAATTTCTATGTTATTTTCCTTCTCCCTCTGCTCTATTTCCAAGATCCTTTCCTCCATTGCTTTGTTACATTTTTCCAGATAGGTATTTCTATTCTCCAAATTTTTGATTTTTCTCTCAGCTTCCTCTTTGAATTCAATAATCGATTGGTACTGCTCAGCGTAGAAGTCTACTGTATCCTTGAGTTCTTCAATGCTCCTTTCCATTTTATAGATAATCTCTAACTTTTTGTTTACCTCACCTAGCAACATTTCCACTGATGTCTTATTGAGATCAACATCAATCATGGGCTTGCTAATTCTTTCAGGGCTTTCGTTCTTTTGGCATTCTTCACAAATTTCTTTCTGCATATGCTTCTTAAGGTTTCGAACACATTTTTTGTGAAATACAGACTCACAAGAACCCTTACACTTGATCACTTCATCCTTTGATAAGGACACATACTGTTTACATTTCTTACACTGCACCATTTTAGAGTATTTATAATAGTTAAACAATTTTTTTTTTTGTATTGCACCGATATGATTTTAAAAGTCCATATAATGTAGGTATTCTATGCACGTCCGCGCGCCGAGCGTATAGCTCTAGGGTCATCTGTGGCGACTGGGACTCCGTGACGGACCGCTCCGGGCTCAAATGCAGAAGGCAGTGCTCCTCGATACCGCCTTCTGCATTTGAGCCGATTTCTTTCCCTTTCCTACTAACCCTCGGCCTTTTGGTCTCCCCTTCCTAGGGCTTCCATCTGGTTGGGCTTTTAATTATTTATGTATTTTTGTATTTATTTTATTTTATTGATATTTATGTATATTTATCTTTTAATTTTAATTTATAATTATATATTTATAGAACCCAACCAGATGAGAAAACTATATAGATACCCCACAAATAATAATAATAAAAGGCGTAGGGAAGTGACGACCCAGTTATATGACAAAACTGCTACGTCGGCGCAGTCAGTCAGCGCCCTGTCAGGAGGTGTGAGCGCCGTGCCTAGGCAAAATTGTGGGTGCAAAGGTCCGTTTGTGCATTCATATTCGGTCATCCGAACCACGAAACGTTGTCGGGCTTGGGCGTCTCCCGTTATTTGGCGTCCATAAAATGGATGATGGCACAGAGAGGAACACGCATAGGGCCGCTGCCTGGGGGTCGCCGGGGCGCGTCTGGAGCTGGCGCTGGACGCGGCAGCATGCGGGCCGCCAGCCGAGCGCGAGAAGCTGCACGGTCACCTAGCATCCATCATCCACACCAGAAGGCTTGGTGTCGGCTGGATCTTCTCGGACTCAGCAAGCGGCACCCGCCGCTGGTGGAGCACGTAGAATGCGATGGTCATAAAAAATGAACGCAAACGCACTGCGGGCGTACTTTAGGGCAAAAGGGGAAAAAACTGGATGTTTGGCGTATTGGGCTAGGATGCATCGTCTTTTTGCTGAGCTGGAGCCATCTTTAACCGTCACAGAGCAAAACCTGGCAGACCGAGTTCGGTATATCTAGCGCTCAAATATATTTGATGTCGCCGAACTCGAACGGCTACGACGTGAGGCTGTTCCCTCATCGGATGAAAATGCTACGGCCGAGGATGTGGCGCCACAAATTGTAGAGCAACCCGCAAACGTGGATGCTGCCGTGAATACCCCAGTTGTGTATAATTCAAACGATGACGGAACAGTCGCCCAGGAACTGGAATTAGAGCATATGAGGAGTAAATTGGAAGAGGCGATTGTGGAAAGGCGCAGTACGAATCGACTGCGACTTCCCTGCATAGCCCTAAGCAAGCGAAATCGGGCTGTCGTGAGGGCTCTGAACACAATGCTGGTGACCTATTTGGAAGCCAGCTGGGACCTTTGCGAGACGAAGTCAATTCTTTTTGGCGCCGCACTGGCAGTATGCCGTATTTATGGCGCCAAACTTTCCACGGCTGGACGCGCTACTGGGCAAAGTAGCGCTATCGCAGCCTGGATAATAAGAATTGAGGAACGTATCGCAAAGGCTAGAGCCCTCATCGGCAGACTGATATGCTTCAGGTCAGGCAATAACAGGCCAAGGATTGTGCGCACCGTCAGGATGGCATTTGCTGGGACAAATGTTAGTTTGTCCCAGCCGGATATAATGCAAAAACTGACGGAGCGCATAGATGACCTGAAGACGAGGCATGATGCTAAATGCAAGTTTTATAATGCCTCAAAGTATATGATCCACTGCAGTAAACAAACCCAGAAAAATATATGATATTGTCCAGGATATATGCTAGTTAGATAGTGTGTTGAGAACATGATACCACTAATTTAATACGACAGAAAAAAATCACAAACATACCTCTAAAAATTTCTTTTAACGAGTAAAAACCGTACGAGTACATGCTAAGGCATATGCATGCATACATGCAATCATTCTGATCTTTTGTCAGATTTTTATACATTCAACATATTAACGTAATATTGTTTTAATTTTTTAGTCCAACTAATAGTTTTTTTTAAACCGCATATTCCTATTTCTGAAATAATATGTACGGATTTTTGCGTAAACGCCTGTGCAGTCACTGCCGGCCGAGGCCTGGTGCTGTAGAGACATGTCGCTCTTTTTGCCGCAATATTTTCGTTAAGATTTTTTAAGGACGCGTTTACAAAATTGACATAGGTATAGAATCGAACTACTGCATTGACACGTACACAAGTGTACGCACGGTTGGCTGCGGGAATCATAGTCAAATAAAATTATTTTGTTAATTTGAAAGGTCGAATTTGTTTTTGATTTCTTATACCTCATAAATATACTTAGATACATAGAGTAATTAGATTTAGATACCTACTCTAGAAACTGCTTGGAACTGGGAGCCCTCTACTGGAAGTGAGATGTTAGCTGTGGACTTTACCACACAGGCTGGTTTTGTCAGTTATGATAAAACCTTACCTCCGGACTTGATAGGGTGACCAGTAGGTGAACTTCAGTAACTAATACTGGAACACCTGGACTAGTAGAACTAAGTGTGCTGAGTTTGGGCTCGTTTTGTTAGGTATAATGAGTCTTTACCTCCGGACTTGACGGAGTGACCTGAAGGTGTACCTTGGTAATCGCTATTGGAACTGATCGCCGTGTACTACTAGGTGTGCCGAGTTTGGGCTCGTTTTGTTAGGTATGATGAGTTCTTACCTCCTCACTTAACGGAGCGACCTGAAGGTGTGCTTTAGTAATCGCTATTGGAACTGGTCGCCGAGTACTACTAGGTGTGCCGAGTTTGGGCTCGTTTAGTTAGGTATGATGAGTTCTTACCTCCCGACTTGACGGAGTGACCTGAAGGTATACTTTGGTAATCGGTATTGGACCTGATCACGTACCTGGTGCCGCGTACGCGGTGTACCTGATTACCAAAGTACACTTTCAGGTCACTCCGTCAAGTCCAGAGGTAAAGACTCATCATACCTAAAAAAATAATAATAATAAAAATATTGATAATTAAAATGTAGTATGATGTCCAGTCTACAGACCTTGTAAACAGTTTTGATATTAGTGAGTAGGTACTCAAAATATTATTACTATAATACTTAGTAGTGTTGCGAATAGGAGACCTCACGGAAAAGTTTTTGTTTGGAGGTGAATTGTCTGCTTGCTTTGCGCATACTGTGTTCACGCTGCGCTCTCCGACTGGCGGTTGCGCTCCGCCCACTGCGGGACGCGCGGGTGAAAAACGAATTTGAAATCGTGCTAAGACCTCGTCTGAAACAGAGAATCGCTGCTTGGGGAAAGCGGATTCGGCGATATACCGGAGGTCGACACGGTTCAACCAGAATCGTCTCTTCCAAAGTGACCAGAAGAGGCTCTATAAATAATTGGAATTGGAGCGACCAATGGTATGTGGAACGGGCCCAGCACCGAATCAGGCCGACACTGTCGCATTCTGGCGCGGACTGTGGTCAGAGCCCGTAAACCACAGCGAGGACCTTTGGACGAAAGTTGTGGCGAGTCACTGTGCGAGTATTACGCCCATGGAACCCATCATCACAACACCGGATGACGTAGCTGAGGCGGTCCGTAGAGCCCCGAACTGGAAAAGTCCGGGATTCGACGGGCTGTATCACTACTGGCTGAAGGGGTTCATGGTGTGTCACGCTGTGCTCGCCCGTAACTTTCAAGAGGCTTTCAACCAGAAGTCGCTCCCTAGCCTCTTCACTACTGGGATCACTCATTTGGTTCCTAAAGAGCAGGTTACCACAGACCCGAGCAAATACCGCCCCATCACGTGTCTACCGACCATATACAAGACACTAACGTCCATTTTGAGCGCGAGAATTACTCGTCACCTGGACTCAAATCAGGTGATGTTGCGTGCTCAAAATGGATGTCGGGGCGGTGGTCGTGGAACCAAGGAACCACTCCTCATTGACGCGGTCATTGGCAAAGTGGTGAAACGCAACCGTCGGAACTTATCCGCCGCCTGGATAGACTACAGAAAGGCATTCGACTCGGATCCCCATACGTGGCTAAAGAGGGTCCTCAAGCTGTACAAGATTGACTGTACAGTTAGAGACTTCCTTGAGCAATGTATGGGGCAGTGGAGTACGATCCTTTGTCATCTGGGTGAGCGGATGACGGCTTCGGAAAGCCGCATAAGGATAAGAAGGGGTATCCTCCAGGGCGATTGTCTGAGTCCAATCTGGTTCTGCCTCTCTTTGAACCCTCTCAGTACATTACTGGAGGGCTCCGGAAGGGTATTTCAGCTTCGTAAAGGAGGTTCAAAAGTGACGTACATTTTCTATATGGATGACTTTAAGTTATGCCTCCAGTCGCTCCCATCTTGTGGAATTGCTAAATATCACTTGTGGCAGTTCTATTGGAATGGAGCTGGGAACGGATGATTGTGTGGTCCTCCATGTTGAAAAGGGAAAGTTTGCTAACTCTGAGCGCATAGACTTATCTATGTCCGTCAACTTGAAGACCCTTTCCGAGGCTGAAACATACCGATACCTGGGTATGTCAAAGAAAATCGGTATCGATGAGGCTGGTATGAAACAGTCTGTTTGCGACGTGTTATGCACGTTTGACCAAAGTGCTGAACAGCTTTTTGTCCGGTGTGAATAAGACACAAGCATATAAAGGTTTGGTCATGCCTGTACTCATGTTTAGCTTTGGCATACTTAGGTGGACTCAGACGGAGCTTAACGCCCTGGATAGAAAAGTCCGCACTACTATGACGTCCCATAGGATGCATCACCCGAGATCTTCGATTATGAGGCTGTACTTGCCGCGGAAATATGGTGGGCGTGGCTTATTAAGCGCGCTTACCATGCATAATCGCGAAGTGTGCAGCCTCCGTAATTACTTTCTGACGAGATGATCCATTCTATAGGGACGTCATTTGTTGTGATAAAGGGCTTACTTCACTATCCTTGTCCAACGAGCAATGGCAAGACCTAGCAGTGCTTAGCATTTCCGACCGGGAGACTGTATGGAAGGAGAAGGAGCTCCACGGGAGGTTCTACAAGGCTCTACATGAACCTTTCGTAGACACAGTCGCCTCCCTCAACTGGCTACGTTTCGGTGACCTCTTTGGGGAAACCGAGGGTTTGTCCTTGCGATACAGGATCAAGTTATTAATACCAAAAACTATCGGAGATACATCCTAAAGGATGGCACCGTCGACAATTTGTCGAGCTTGTCGCCATCCCGGTGAGTCACTTAGGCATGTCATCTCCGGGTGTTCGGCGCTTTCTAACTCTGAGTACTTGCACAAGTACAACCTAGTAGCCAGAGTTCTACACCAGGAGCTCGCTCTGAAATACGGTCTCGTGGATCGGAAACTGCCGTATTACAAGTACTTGCCGGAAGCCGTGCTCGAAAATGACCGCGCCAGGCTCTACGGGGACCGGGCCATCATCACAGACAGGACTATTCTTGCGAATAAGCCTGATATTGTGCTGATGGACCGGGCACAGTCAAGGATATTTTTGGTCGACTTTACCATTTCGTATGGCGAGAACCTCGTGAAAGCTGAAACAGATAATCGAACAAAATATCTGGACCTGGCTCACGAGGGGACCGACATGTGGGGTGGGCTGTCGACCGAAATTATAAATGTAGTCGTTTCTGCAAACGGGCTAATCCCAGTCAGCCTCTCGGGTCAGCTGAGGCGACTGGCACTCCGTGACGGACTGCTCCGGGCTCAAATGCAGAAGGCGGTGCTTTTCGATATTGCCCGCATTATCCCTTTCCCCTAACCCTCGGCCGTGTGGTCTCCCCTGCTGAGGGCTTCCATCTGGTTGGGCTTTTATTTATTTATGTATTTTTTATGTATTTCTTTTATTTTATTGTTATTTATGTATATTTATCATTTTAAGGAACCCAACCAGATGAGAAAATTATATAGATACAAAAAAAAATAATAATGCCTTGAGGAGTTTTAAAACTAAATAAAATTTTGGATTATAATAAGATTGTATATACTAATATATAATGCACATTTATATAGCTAAGTTAAGGTCCCTGGCAGGAATAGGCCTCCTCCAATAGTTTCCAGTATTTTCTCTTCTTTGCTTTCTTTGTCCAATCGTTTCCAGCATATTTTTTGATCTCTTGCCACTTGGACCTGCCTACATTGTGGCCATATGCGTCCATCTTTCGTCTGTCAGTCGTGCTACGTGGCCGGTACACTTCCACTTGAGTTTTCTCATACGTTGTAGAGCATCTATGACATTGGTTTTTTTCCTTATGTTTTCTGATTTTATTTTATCCTTCAGCCTAATATTCAAGATGCTCCTTTCCATAGCACACTGCGTCTTCTGTATTCTGTCTGTCGCATATATAATCACTATGAAATATTCCATCCTCTAATGCAATAAAAAATCTGTTATCTTAGGAATATTTATTTATAAGTAATAATCTACGTTCGTTACGTACGCCATTTTCGCTTGAAGGTTATTGTGTTGATTTTTGGATTTTTCTAGTGTTTTATTGGTGTTTTAGTATAGTGTTTTATTATTAAATTGTAATGAATGTTTTGATATGATTATAATTCATCTTTTTACGTAAATAATTCCGAGTAATATATATTGAAATAATTGTGATTTTCACGCTGCGGACATTCGCTTGGTATATAATATGTACAACATGTAACATAATTAACGCACTTTGAGAAAGTAGTTTGTTCTGAATCGTTTACTGAATCGATTCCTATTATTTTTAATGTAGGTAATTTTTATCCCAAAATAATTAAAACTACGTAAATTACACTCACACTAAATCTGTACAGTCAAAGCAAACTGAAATGGACCGTAACTCAAGGCAATAAGACTTTTAAGAGTGCAGTTTTATTTGTATTATTACTAATTCTGTCATTCAATGAAAATAAAGAAAAATGAACTTTATTTCAAGCACATTCTTCCGGAATTAGTATAACTAATTTTATAAATAATCAGTGCATAAAAATGTTTAACTAAAAATTCAGTGTATGTATTATGATTATAACATAATATACTAATTGGGGTGTCTGAGGGTGTGCGTTAATTACGTTATATATTGTATATTGTTTTTTTTTGTTATCAAAATAATACAATAAAATCTTTTTGTCATGAAGTAAAACCTGACTTTTGTTAAGACCACAGGAACAGGATAGAGGATTTTGTATAAATTTTATAATGCTAAACTTCTTCATAGAAAAGTAGTCTCTGTATATAAGTGGTTAATGGCTTTAAGTGGTGTGGGTGGATGCGGTCGCATGCAACCACTCGGGATTTGTTGGGCGCATGCGACTGCATGAGTATTTTATGGCGCTTGATGGGTTAACTGAAGAATGGTACAGGTAAACGAAAAGTAAAGTTACAGCCTTTTACTTGTATACGTCCTACAGGCCTATTCTCGTAATTGAGAGTGATCTGATGATATAACAAAAAAAAATTATGGTACTTCTATTTTTGCATTTCATGTTGCAGTCCTATCATGTGTCACTTCATTCTGAGAAGTTTGTAGAGTTGATTTTACTGGAGTAGAGTGGATCTTACCCAAAGACCACAGTCACCGTAATAGAACGTTTTGTAAACTATATTATTTATAAATATAAATAAACTTTCAAAATAAAATTATTTTTCCTATAACATATTAGCATATTACATATGCATTATATATTCAGGAATTTAATTTATATGCAGACAAAATGAAATTAAATTGTATTGTGAATTATACTTAATATGTTCTTAGCATTAAGTATCGATTTAAATACCTAAGCGCGTTATCGTAGCGTGATTCACATTTCATGTCATTAAATAACTGACTCTACTAACAAATAACAATAGCCCGCCAGCAATTTTTAATCGCTGCATACTGTTTATACAGTACCAGATATTTAAATGCCGTCATTGGTATAACGACATTGCGTTCTCACTGGAAACAATCGTATTTTATAATCACTGTTGACATTCCATTTCTTCTTAAGTACGCTGTATTTATAGTCTGCTAAGTGTAAAAGCAGTGATGATGTTGAAGCAATATTATGGTATACATTTCCTCCGACATTTAACATTATAGGTTTACCGAGTCTTAACTCACACATTCATGCTCTTATTCAAACGTCTTACGTTTCATTCTTATAGCTTCGTTTCAACAACAACAAATGTGTGTGTTGATTTTGATGCGCGAGCGCGGCATTGCCAAGTTAGTGTGTAACGGAGTACCTACACAGTTGTTAAATTCTCAAGCACATAATATCAACGTTGCTACTTGTGCTAGAATATTAATTGTAGATTTTGCGGAAACTCAACAAGGTAATTTTTTTGTAATAAACTATTTAATGTACTGTGTATAACTTGATCAGGTACTCGCTACCATATCATTTCTATGTAATGTAGTAAATAGTAAAACTGAGTACCTTGTATAATACGTCAGTGAATGATAATAAAGTCTGTCCTAAAAGTATTTTAGAAGTACGGTCATGTGTAATGAATAAATACTTTAAAATAAGGTAGGTTAGACAAACCTAAACAAACACTTTACGATTTTAAGATTTTTTCATCACAGGGATTAAAGTACAAAAGTTGCTCTACATCCATGACATATCACTTAAACCACATATGTACTTTATTCAAATTGCACTTTTTACTGGAAACGAGGCATTCCAACGTAGTCCTCAGGGGTCACAACGAGTCTGCATTTTGATATTATACTTAAATTGAAGATAAATATAGATATCATGAATCACGGCATCCACTTACTATCAGGTGGACTGTGTGCTCGTATGTCACCCTAATTATATTGTATATTTTTGTACAAAAAGTGTGTTTGGACTATATTATGGTTTTGGGACACATGGGTTGACTCGATTGGGAAAGGATATGCACTCAACAGCGTGAAACAGCAGCTTAAAAAGCTTAGCAGCCACAATCCCCAGCGGCGTTTGGCGGCTCCTCTATATAACAACATACTAAACGCAAATCTGTAAATTATTTAAAACTTTTTAAAGACGAAATTGTTTCAAATATGATATAATTTCCACCGACCTCAATCAGTAAAACTACTCCCTTTCTTTAATGGAACTCTAAATGGTATCTAAGTGCAAGTGCAGTCCAGCAAATGCTCCTTGTAGAACAATATTTTATAGAATAAGACAAACAAAAAAACGTAAACGAGTACACATTCCACCTGATAGTAAGTGGATGCTGTGGCCCATAGACATCTACCGGTGAGGACTAAGATGAATTGCCTCCTTTCCAGTAAGAAGCGTCTCGGGTTCTCTACACTCACCATACGAAACACGGCAGCATTGAACTGTTATTTTATGCTGGTATTGGTGAGAGCGTGGTCCTTCCCCGGTCGAGCCGACATATTTGTGCTACAACCTTAATATGATTGCAAACTAGCTTTACAACTCCTGTATGAGTGTTATAATATGATGCAGTCTCAGATACAAAATGAAATAAAAATTTTTAAAAATTATATAATTTATTCGGAAATTTTAAGTAAATGTAAAGTAAAAAATTTAATAAGTAATGGAAGCCATTAAATAACCGAAGACAACTTAACGATCTTGAGTAACTCCAAAACCTCTGTAAACAGCTCACATTTGGACTTCGTAAAAACTAATATATCTCAAAATACCACACTAAACTGAAGTGGCTTTCATAGTGTATTCATCGGAATATTCACAACCTTACTGCACTTTACTACATCTTATATAGTACATTATTTCCACATATGTAAAAGAGTCTTTACATTTTAATGGTAGAGCCACGTTGCAGCTGTAATATGCTTGCAGCACAATTGGGTCGGCACGGCTCGGGAGTGACAACGCTCTCACAGAATACCAGCGTATGGTAGCCAATTAATTGGTGCAATTACAGCTGTATTTTTGTGGTAAGTATAGAGAACCGGAGAACCTTTTTACTGATAACGAGGCATTCTATCTTAGTTGTCAAGGGTCGTAGATATCGCTTCTACATTTTGATTCTTAATAGAGGATAGATTTAGGTGTCTATGGGCCACAGCATCCGCCTGCCATTAGATGGATTGGGTGTTTATCGCTCTTAATCAATAAAAAACATCTATTCTCTGTTTTTGGATTAAAACTTTAGAACTCCTCACCTTTATTGATACATGCTGCCTCACATGAAAAGTTCAAGAATTAGATTAAGGATTATTATTCGCTCTTCACACACCCTTTATTTCTTATTTCATTCATACTCAATGATCTACCGCCTAAACTCTAAAGTAGTTTTAGTGCATTATTTATCGTTTATTAATAAAGTGCACCCTGATATTTCTCCCCATTTTATTTATTTCTCTTTTGGATTGTCTGAAAGAAATTGTTGTATAGCAATAAGACCACTTTTTGTTTTTCATTAAATTTAGAATTTTTGATTATGACAATATTTTCTTGGTACTAAATATAGAATATTTGTATTGTAGAATTAGAAAATCCATCACAGAAAATTATAACCCTGGCACCCCGTTAGTCCCATTTCTTAAGGACACCAAACTACATGACATATGCGTTAGTCATGATGAAACATAATCAAATAAGAAATGCTCGCGAAATCACAAATAAATATTGCGTGGAAGAATTACTATTTGCACCGAAGCCAAACTAAAGTGATACCCAACATTGACGCTGAAACTCTGTCATGATTTAATGACCTTCAAGGCAAATATTGTGAGGTTCCCGACCAGAGTAAGCCTGAGAATCGCAAGCGCATCCTCGTGTCGCAGTCATAAATATTAGTTTTCAAAATTAAAACGAACTAGTAGATAAATTAATGTTGCCAGTTTACGGGCCGATAAACAACATACAACTTACACCATTGCGCACAACGTTACATGTAGAAGTGACGCATTTCTTTAACTAATTAGAAAATACCATTAGGCATTTCAATCTTAAACTTATTACACAGTATTACAGTAAAAAGTGCTCCGTGTAAATAATTAGTATTGCAATTACTTCCAATCAATGGAATGAGATATGTGTATCTATAGTAATTAAAGTATCCCTTTAATCCTCAACTTTAGTAGCTTAAAGCTAGAAAAAAGTCTCTTCAGCCTGAAATATCAGCATAATGCGTGTTTATAATTTTTTTCAATAATGTGTTTCGTATAACATGTGACAAAAACCCGAAATTTAACTTCGGGGGTGAAAAGTCAATCAAATTGTGAAAACGTATCTGCATTTAAACGTTTATTTAAAGATAAATAATGTAGGTATCTTAGCATCTAGTCTTAATCCACTTTCCATGACGTGGATTTTTTATAGAAGAGGGACCAAACGAGCATGCGTCTGACCTGATGGTAAGTGACTACCGCCGTCTATGAACAACCGCAACACCAGGGGATTTACAGGTGTGTTGCTAGCCTTTTAGAATAGAATATAAAGTATATAGCCTTTTATACCCATTAGTCACCTATGCTTCTATAAAAATATCAGCTTGACGATATAGGCTTTGTAATCATCTGCTTGCTTTATACCAGTTATATCAACATCTTTTAATGTAAGATGAAGATCTGTATACAGTTATAAATCCAATACGTACAATATAGAAGAAGACTTACGTATTTGATTTTTCACATTGTCAGTGTATTTTGGAACAAAATTATTATCTTATTCTTCATCAGCATATAAAAGTTCACTGCTGAACATGGGCGACTTCAATTGCATTCATCTACATGATTGACAATCGCAGTACCAGACGTTTTGTACTTATGACGCTGTTCTTCGTCGCTGGTGAAAATACGGTATAAAGTTATTGAATCTCTTACGCCGCACCCCATACAACGAGAAATTCAAACCGGAAAAGAATATTCTTATAAAAAGTTAACTTTGAATAAAAGTAATAAGAATAAAATAATTTCACATTATGAAGTTATACACATAGCATACAGTGTACACCGTTTTAAATTCTCTTTTTTGTCGAAGCAATTTTAAAAATTACTTGAAATAATAACGATGGCATTATATGGTATGGTTTATATGGCCCTATATTGCTTGGCACTACTATTATATTTAATATATATTATATTTTCCTTTCAGTTTCAAAATGCAAGTCATTACAAGTAAATTTCCATATCTCAACAGCCTAGCAATGTGTTTTGTTATCGGATATTTGCATTTGGTAAGAATAAATCTTCACTTATTATTTTACAAACAACACAAATTTCTGTGTATGTATTGAGTAAATGGCGCAAACATGAGTCTCTAATAGATAACTACATATTTGTATTATTTGCAGTAGAAAATGTTCATGATTTGAAGTTTCTTAAGAAACTATACCTGCAACTGGTTGTCGTCGCTGGAGTTAAGAGGGCTGGTTCTTTTTTCGCCCAAAGTATACTTTGGTATAGCTATTAGTATAGCCATTCATTCGGGAAAACGCAGCCAGAGTTCTTGACACTTAGAGAGGAGGACAGTTTGATAACTTTAGTTTCTTTTATTCAATAAATATACATGATCTATTTCTTATTTGAATATTATAGTATGATACAAATTTAAGTTAAAATATAATTTACAAAATATTAAACACATAACGTATAATTTTTACTTTTATTGAAGAGGGGCAAACGAGTATGCGGCTTACCTGATGATAAGTGACCACCGCTGCCCATAAATAACTGCAACACCAGGGGAATTGCAGACGCGTTGCCGGCCTTTTAGAAAGGAGTAAGCTCTTTTCTTGAAGGTCCACAAGTCGTATTGGTCCCGAAAATTTGCCGGTGGCAAATAATTCCACAGAGAAGTTGTACGAGGAAGAAAACTCATAGTAAAACGCACAGTAGTGAACCGCCAAGCATCCAGATCCAGCTGTGCGTTCATGAAATTTGGCGGCTGGTACTAATCCGAACAATTCCTCATAAAACTCCCCATGGTAGATACGATATAAAACGCAAGGGGATGCAACATCCCTACGCAGCGCCGGTTGATCCGAGATCGATCCAGAAAGAACTCGGTCGTCGACGATTCGAATCGCTCTCCGCTGGATGCGGTCAAGTGGAAGGAGCTGGCACTGGAGTGCCCCGACCCAGAGGTGAGAACAGTATTCCATGTGAGGCTGAACTTGCGCTTTGTAAAGTTGCAAGCGATGTGTCGGCATGAAATACTGTCTCGCTCTGCTGAGCACGCCAAGCTTTTTTGAGGCCAATTTGACCTTCCCTCCAAGTAACCACGAAACTGCACACAAATCGATAAGTCGACGCCGAGTATTCTGATGCTAGCTGAGGCAGCAGGAAGAGTGCCCTCAAACTGAGGAGATACGACAAAGGGGTCCTTTTTAGCGGTTAACGCGCAAACTTGTGTCTTCTGGGAATTGAATTGGACTAGATTTAGTCGCCACCAATCTGAGACTTTGTTAAGCAATTTCGATTTCTACGATTTCCCGAAAAATATTGGCACGGCCGGTATATAAGGCATCACCAGTGTTGTCGTCTGCATAACAATGAATGTTAACAATTTGCAACATATCATTAATTTGCAGAAGAAACAGCGTTGGTGATAGCACGCAGCCTTGTGTTTGACACAGAAGTTTCCTTGGACAGCCTTGGCGAGAGACCAGAATAGACGGGTTCCCGAAGGAAGGCCAACTAGCTTCTCGCTAATTCTGTGGATATGCTCAGACATTGCCTTGGAAATGATTCTTTTGAAGGACCTGCAGGTGGAATTATACTTCTTTTTAAGAGCGCTGGTGTTTACATCCCGGGACGTTGATGCGTTAGCCTAAGCCCAGGAGCACTTCTGCTTATATCGTGATGGTATTTTACAGGAGCGACCAATCTATGGCTGAGATTTGCCTCCGATGGGCACCACAGCGGACGGAATAAAAAGTTCCATACCCTGAAGTAACATATCAGCCACAGATTTAGTAACAATGCCGGGATTGTCCGGCGAGAAGTAAACTCACCCTCAAGGGTGCAAAAAGATATCCCAATCGGCCGACCTATAGTGCCAAACACGGCGGCAGCCTGCAGAATGCAACCGCAACGTTAATGTGACTGGCAGCACACTTCGGAAAAGATAATGGGCCGACGAGCCTAAAGCGGTATTGACGGAAACCTGAAATCCGTCCGGATGAGAGGTCAGCAGAAGGTCCAACAGGGAAGGTGTATGATCTTCCACATCTGGAATCGCGTAGGCGCAGTAACCAATTATGTCATACCATATGCCAAAGTAAAGTCATAACATATTAGTTCAATCGCCGCCATCTTTTTTTAAATAAAAAAGTGAGAAATTGAAATTACAATCCACCTCATCAGGTGGATCATAAGTTTGTTTATCACTTTTTTGACTTTTTGGACTGCAGTGGCCACTTACCGTCGTAAGTGGTCACCGCAGTCCATGGACACCTGCAACCAACTTCAAACAAACAAGCTACAAATACGTTAGCACCCCTGAGGACTAAGTTGGATTACCTCACAGCCAGTAATTGTACTGAGTCACTGTACTCTTGGTACTATAACACAGCAGTGCAGGCACTGTTATTTATCGGCAGTAATACGAGTAGTATGAGGTTGGTTACAACCCGGATGGATTCCAGGCATAAAAGATCCATCCTACCACCTCTTGTTTCTTTCTCGTTTCTTTTATTGTAATAAATATTGTATATTGTTATGTTATGTCAATGAAATATACAAAGACATATAATAAAACCAGATAAGTTCTTATAGTTGATATAATATAAACGGTAGAACAAAAGCTGCGCAAAATCCGCGGTTTTATGACTTAGAGCGAGGTCATAAATTGCTATGCGCCAACGACGTGATGCCAGTATTGCCAGTATGTAATTCATATGAGTATATCGTAACATGACGCGATGAGTTTTCGGAGTACACATACAACCAACTGCACTTAGATGGTTGTATTCTAGTGATCTACAACGCCTGTTATTAAGTGGCCTACAGGAGTTAAACGCAAGTTTTGTAATGCCTCAAAGTATATGATCCACTGCAGTAATTAAAACCAGAAAAATATATGACTTTTTCCTGGATATATGCTAGTTAGGTATTGAAAAGGTGATACTACTAATTTGATACGATAGAAAAAAATCACACAGACACCTCTAAACATTTTTAAATGAGTAAAAATCACACTAATATACATGCAATCATTCTGATCTTTGTCAGATTATCATACAAATCGTAAAAACAAATATATTGTATTATTATATAGCACTACTATAGTAGTATTGTATAGTACATCCTATATATAATAAATATTTTTACAATTTCAGTTATCGACTACAGTGAATATTTCATGCCATTTTCTCCTTGTATCAATCGTTTCTGGTGGTTTCCAGTGTGACGTTGATGCGAACAGTGTAAGTCATTTTTTTTTAATTTTATATGTTGTGTTTTAGTTGTCGTGTAGCAGTGTATTTATTTACTTTTATTTTATAGGATAAGAACAACAAGCGAGCAAAACCTCCGCCTGATATTTAGCGATTCTTGTGGCCTATAGACATTTTATCCTCGATTAAAAATCAAAATTTAGATTAGTTGTCACACTTGAGTACTAAGACGAAGTGCTTCTTTATTAGTAAAAGGGGTCACTAGTTCTCTATACTCACCATACGAAACACAGCAGTGTTAAGTTGTTATCAAACGCTAGTATTCAGAGAGAGTGTGGTCCTTCCACGGTTGAGCAGACCCTTTCTTGCTGCAGACATAAAATAGCTAGAGTGTTGCTCTACCCCGTAGATGATGTAAGAGAATCCAATACCACATATCATCCCATTTATGTTAAAAGAGGCGTTAGAGGGAAACGAAACAGAAAATGGACCGAAAGCATCTTCCTGGTAACAACCCAAAAACAATAAGAAAATAACTGCAGTTACAAACCCACAAACCAAGAAAAGAAGCAGAAACGGAATTTTTTTATTCTATATATATATATTAAATAACACTAATTGAAAGTCACTTTTTTAATTTAATTTACCACTGGCTAGGTAATAAACCTCTCTCCTAGAAAGAACCAGCAAGAAATGCAGCGGAACTTCTTTTTTTAAATTAACAGCTTTTTTTATAGAATAAGGGTGACAAACGAGCAAACAGTCCACCTGATGGTAAATGAATGCTGTGGCCCATAGACATCTTCATTTATCCTCGATTAAGAGTCAAATTGCAGGTGCGTTGTCACCCCTGAGGACTATGATGGAATGCCTCGATTCCAGTAAAACGGATCTCCGGTTCTCTACACTCACCATACGAAACAGCAGCATTAAGCTGCTATTTTACGCTGGTATTCTGTGAGGGCCGTGGTCCTTACCCGGTTGAACCGACCCATTCGTGCTACAACCTTAATATAGCTGCAGCGTGGCTCTACCACGTGTAGACTTAGCTCACTATAGCTTACCATCGTGTATATTATACAATTAACAACACAAAACGAACAAGAAACAGCTTAGTAGCGATCACCTTTCCCTGGGGTTATTATCATCCATAAATTCCTTAATATTATAATAACCCCTTTTTATACACACTTAGTTTATTAAAATTTTTGAACTTTGTGCAGGTCATATTTTGTATATTATCCGGGATTTTGTTGAAAAATCGTGTACATCGCCCCCAAGAATGAATTAATGACTTGGTGGAGTCGAGTACCAGAATGAATATTACTTATAGTTGTAAAAGTACTTTTATTTTTGTATGTACATTACATTTCATAAATATATAAAGAGGCCAAAGTGAATATATTAATTTCCATAAAGTTATGACTGAGTGACTCTTTAGGTTTGAAATCATAGATTGCTAAAATGGCCTTCTTCTGTAAAACAAATATAATTTCAGCGTCAGTCGCGTGTCCCCACAGCGAATTACCATACGATATTATGCTTTGAAAATAGCTAAAGTAAACTTAGTCTAGCTGTTTCCACACTGGTAAGACTTCTAATTTTTGTACAGCATAATATGCTGCAGAACTAAGTATGCAGCCAATATAATATATTCAACTATTCAGCTTTGGACTTTTGAAAAGCTTTAAAAACAGCAGTGGATGGATGGATGGATATTCAATTGTAACGCCGTCAACCTTTCTATTCATTTATAGAACTAGTTTTATGATAATATATAATTAGTTTTTTATTTTACGAAAAACGATTACAATATTCGTATATCAAAGAAAATAAGTCTGTTATAGGTTATTGCTATGGTATAAAAATCTCTCGGGTTCGTTTAAAAAATAACTTGATTATCAACGTTTTTTTTGTATTGAATCTGTAATTCAATCCATAAATATAATGTAATACAATAATTATAAACATAAACTTAAATAGCGCATGACTTAGAGACATAGATATTTAAATCAGTATAAAACTAATTTTACGGATATTATTCCGTTTATTTTTCAAAATTAATTTCAGTCACCGATGTTTCGGATGCTTTACAACACGTGATCAAGTCTCCCTTCAATCACTGCAACCTAAATATTATTAAAATATACATAGCGTCACATTTAACTTTTACACACATTTAACTTAACTATTCTACTTATTAATTCAAAGCAAAGCAAGCTACGAGGACCTCGTTTAGCCAAAAACTGAGTTTAGTCGCTGGTCTTAACGAACGACTTTGATCGTTGCAGCGAGAGCGCGTGTAATGTATGGGACATTACACGGGCTCTCGCTACAATAAATCTCTCTACCATATTTTAAAATATTTTCTTTATAAAATCAAATTTGTCTCCTGGAAAAAATAAATTGATCAAAATGTTCATTAAGAAATTGCCTATCCATTAGTGTCAATTACAGAATAAAATAATGCTTACTTTATGAGGAGATGCATGTTATCAATAATTATGTCGCATTTCTGTGGTTTAGTTGTAGGAAGATTTATTAAGTATTTACTCCTTTTAATTTTTTTTAGAATTGGCCGTTACGGAATCTAGATTATGTAGAAATTTGATATAATTTAGAGTTGATATATCTTTTTAATAACAAGTAGATAGCTCCTAAAAACGTTATAATATTCTCTAGCGCGGCATATTGCCCAAACACGCACTTTAAGTGGCTAGCCTATTATATTTATTATTTACATAACCACAAACCAAATATTCCATTAGTCGCCTTTTACAATAAGTATTTTACAACATAATTAGGGGACTATAAGTCCCAAACCAACATTTGACCAAATATTTTTTTAATTGTGTAATTGTATACGATAAATAATTCAAATTTATATTTTCAGCTACGTGCAGTTGAAGGGCAGTGGTTAGATCCCATTTTACTCTTTCTAAACTTAGGAACACACGGATTTTACCCCTTCCCGATTATCATAACGCGTATTATCAAATATATACCAAAGTCGAATCAACCGAATTGCTATCCTGGAATTCTACATATATATTTAAATGATGTACTTCATTTCTTAATCAACGTGATATGGTTAAGGCTGGTGATTTCTTTTATTTCCGCTGTACATAAGGTAATTTTTTTTTTCAATTTAAAAAAGTTTTGTATTGTAGTAGGAAGATCTAGAAAATTATCTCCTCTTTCTTTACATAAGCCCACATAATCGACATAAAACACATTCGAACCACACTGTGTGCTACGGCGTTCATAATGCGTAGGGTCGAATAATGAGCCAGTATTTCTCTTTAATGCGATTATAACGAGATTGAATAGGCTTTTTTAAGCTACTTCATTTAGTTTTACCATATTTGACTGCGTCACCACTTACCATCAGGTAAGTGGTCAAACACTGGCTTATAATAGTCAAGAAAACGTGTCTCGTACCTTTGACGTTACTGCTTATCACCGGTCTAGGTATAAGATTTTACTGGCATCCCAAATTAACGTTTCTTACGGCACCCGCGGGATGAAATGCAATTGACAGAGATGGTATTATTTTAGAAAACGCGACTGCATATTTAATTTACACATTTTTTTATGTTTACAGAGAGATCCGGAACGAATGCGAATGTTGTACGGTTTATCTTTAGTTAAACTGGCCGCACAAGTCATATACCTTGTCTTCAAACCCGACACTCTTATCACTAGCGAGGAATTTTTGTTGTGCGTTATAGATATATGTAAGTATTTAGCATATTCGTAACAATTTTCTTTGCAAACTGCAAATATGTAAAAAATTATTTCAATTTACATTTATTAGAAATTTCACCCGGTGAGATCGATAAGAATGTGTTTATAGTTTATAAATTTAAATATTTTCTAATCTGACCGTGTCTTCTATGACTTTAAATAGACTAAACATCTATTGGTAATAATAAAATTGGTAGGACTTAGGTGTGAGCCACTACCGGGATCCACAGGTGGCGGATAGTGGAACGGCCGTAAGATATTACGGTTAGCTGTTTCGGCAGTCCCCGACCACACACCGGCAGGGTTAGAGGGTGTAGGCTAGAACCCTTAGGAAAGGTATATAAGCTATGCAAAAACTACAAAAACCCAATGAAGACTCTGTGACATGGCGAGCCAATGCCGCCAGTAAATAAGCATTATCCTCCTCCAATTGCGGGCAGCTGCGTAGTTGGTTGATTGAGTGAGTGGGAGCTAGGTAAGCCTGTACAGTCACCAATCTCATTGTTGTTGTATGAGTCCCAGATTCAGATGGCAGTAATACAGCGATGTGGAAGGCCACGGAAAACCACCACATTATTAATCCCAGGACAAATCATTATGGCTGAGACAAATAAAACAATGGCCCTTAGTCCCCGGCAGGCCTTAAGTGGTCAGAGGGTGCGAAGAATTTCCGGGTCAGCCATAAAGATCGCAACTTGGAATGTCCGCAGTTTATATGAAGATGGTAAATCGGAAAATGTGATAAAGGAGATGTGCAGATTAGAACTTGATATCCTAGCAATAAGGGAATTAAGATGGAAAGGAAACGGAATTTTAACATCCGGTGATGCTACAGTTTATTACTCAGGTAGCGATGAACGTCAACATCACAGAAATGGTATTGCCATAATTGTGAAACATGCTCTAGGATCGACTGTCAAAAATTTTCTTCAGGTATCGGAGCGGGTTATATTGTTACAACTTGAAGCTAAGCCGTTTAACATCAACATAGTTCAAGTATATGCTCCTACAACAGACAAAGGTGACGATTTGAATGAGGCATTTTATGATGATATTGAGACAGCACTCAAAGTAACCAAGAAACACTACATAACAGTCATCACGAGTGACTTTAATTCCAAAACTGGGCAAGGTCCAGTACCCGACGTAGTTGGTACCTTTGGGCTTGGTGTCAGAAACGATCGAGGAGAAAGGTTGGTGCAGTTCTGCCAGGAGCGCGAGTTCGTTGTTACTAATACATTCTTTAAGCTACCACCTAGAAGACTTTATACATGGCGTTCACCAGCTGGTAGTCCAGTGAAGATCGAACGTAATCAAATAGATTTCTCGTTGATTAACAGAAGGCATAAAAATTGCATTAAATCTGCTAAGACATATCCCGGAGTCGATATTGGATCTCATCAAAAGCCTATTGTGGTCGTTATTAAAGTTCAGCTAAAGAGAATGCAACAGCCAACAAGAACTACAAGAGTGGACCTGAGTAAATTGAAAAACCCTGAATCTGAAAACCAACTTCGCCTAGCCATTAATGACGAAATGTGTAGGCTAAATCACGAGAATGATAATCTTGTTTTCTCCAGTACGGAGTAAGCATGGCATCAATTATGGATGCAAGTAATAAGATCTTAGTGTCAACACCGCAATATAGGAAAACTGAGAGGATTACTGACGAAATCTTAAATTTGATGGATTTATGACGTGAAAATAAATTGAAAAGAAAAAGAAAAGTATGATTCAATACAGCTTTCGATACGGAAGAAAATAAGACAGGCAAAAGAAAAGTGGTATGGTGATCTTTGTTCTGAGATTAAAGAATTGGATAAAAAGTTTGACTATTTTAATATGCATAAGAAGATTAAAGAGGTTATATCCCCTAAACATCAAGGACGTACACAAACAACTCTTCTTAATAAAGATGGCAAATATGCCTCTTGCACAGATGACATGTTGATAACTTGGGAGCAATATGTAACTGAACTTTTTTGTGACACTCGGTCTGATCCTGTTGATTTCATTTGCGAAGACACGGGACCTGCCATTACAAGGAGTGAGGTCTATTATGCCATCAGAAATGGAAAAACAAGGAAAGCTGTTGGTTCCGATGACATACCAGTCGAGGTAATTAAAGTGATTGACGAGTATAATCTGGATTATCTTGTTAGCCTCTTCAACGCTATTTAGAACTCCGGCACGATTCCATCCGACTGACTCAAATCGACATTCATCACCTTACTCAAGCTCAGGAATCCTAAAATATGCAGTGATTATCGTACCATTTCGCTCATGAGTCATGTTTTGAAGCTGTTCTTAAAAATAATCTATAATAGAATTTACTCAAAATGTGAGTCCGTACTATCACATACTCAGTTTGGTTTTAGAAGCGGTCTGGGGACTAGAGACGCACTTTTTGGCTATCAAGTGTTGGTACAAAGGTGTTGGGATATGAACAAAGATCTGTTTGTCTGCTTTATTGACTATGAAAAAGCCTTCGACCGCGTTCGACATGGCAAGTTGATTGAAATACTTCAGAAAATTGACTTAGACTTCAACGACCGCCGATTCATAAAAAACTTATACTGGAACGAGCGGGCAAATATAAGTGTCAACAGGATATCATCATCATACATTGACATAGAAAGAGGCGTACGACAAGGATGTATTTTGTCAACCTTACTGTTTAATTTTGTATGCTGAAGCCATATTTTCAGAGGCACTAGATAACAGTCTAGACGGCATATCAATTAATGGCAAATTGTTGAGCAACATTAGGTACGCAGAAGACACGATATTAATCGCCGATAGTCTTGTGGGTCTTCAAAGGTTAGTAGATTCAGTGGCTTCCGTTAGTGTTGAATACGGTATCAACATCAATACCAATAAGACGAAGTACATGGTAATAAGCCGATCACCTGAGCTTATCACGTCTTTATCCCTAAATGGTCAGGGTCTTGAACGGGTCACCAAATTCAAATATCTAGGCACAATGGTTGACGAAACAGGAGATCACAGCCTCGAAATACGATGCAGAATAGAGCAGGCACGCAACGCCTTTTCAAGAATGAAAAAAGTTCTTTGTGACCTTCTCTATGGTGTAGAAGCTTGGACGCTGACAGAAGCCTTGTCTTAAAAACTAGAAGCGTTGGAGATGTGGGTGTATATACGTATGCTAAGAATTTCTTGGAGAGTCCGCGTACAAAACACCACCGTGCTACAAAGAATGGGGAAGATCACAGAGATAGTTACAACCATAAAGAGGAGGAAATTGGAATATTTTGGGCACGTGATGCGTAACACCAAAAAATATGAACTCCTTCAACTTATCATTCAGGGGAAAGTGGCAGGCAGAAGGAGGCCTGGCCGCAGAAGGATATCGTGGCTGAAGAACTTGCGCCAGTGGTTCGGGAAGAGCACAGGATCACTGTTTAGAGTAGCGGCCTCAGAAGTTGAAATCGCCCTAATGATTGCCAATCTTCGCAAGGAGACGGTACCTTAAGAAGAAGAAGAAACATCTATTCTAAAATTAACACCGAAACCCTCTCAAAAATGAGAGGATGCCTGTGCCCAGCAATGGGACGTATATAGGCTGTAACTTTACTTTGCTTTTTTACTTTATATATTATTTCATGTGGACTTTATTACAATTGGATTTAATTATAAGTTATTGCAAGGGAAACAATTTCATAGTCATAAGTGAGAGGGTAATCACTAGTGCTTTGTGATCATTATTTAGCTGACTTCAAAAAATTCGTATTTATAGTATGTATAATTTTAGTGAACTGCCTTTTTAGTCTAACAGTTGCTAACATGATTTGTAATCATAAGGGCCTGGGTCCGAATCCCAGGTCAGGCCAACAAAAATCAGTTATTGAGTTTTTCTGTCAAGAATTTCTCGAAAGCAAAACACGTAAAGCCGTTGGTCCTGCGTCTGATCCCTCTCCGGTCATGTGCTTGCGATTATAACCATTTCTTCCCATTATTTTTAAATATCAGAAACCTTGCGTTTGTGATATTCATTAGTCTGCTCAAAAGAATCAAAAAAATTTAATCAAATGTAAAATCGGCTTATTCAATGAATACAACGAACAGGCAATAAGATTCCACTGTCGTGCACAGGGCATTTTTAATTTTTCTGTAAACAAAAATTCTCATATAAGTTATTAAAAATGAAAACTTTTTAGAGAACTAAAGATAGTGAAATAATTTCAAAATAATTTAATAGTTCCTGAAGCCGAAGCTGAGGCAAAGTGGGTGATAGAGTTAAAGACCAGATTACTTAATTTACTTTGACCCTTTTGAGTGGATATATCGCAGGTATATTGTAAAAACCATGATATTACAATTTCACTAGTGATATTATAATTTAACGGTAGATTCCAATCAATTCAATTCAATCGACTCCATTCCAAAAAAGGTAATTTTATACTTTCGCGGACCCCAAATCTCTAATGTTAATTAATTTTTAGCGAAGTGAGCTCGGGCATCTTAGGGCATCCCAATTCGGACTGGTTAGGTTAGAAGGAGAGGCGGGGTCGAGTGAGCGAGCGAATAGACTACTCCATCGTGGTTATTTTTTACAAACCACTCAGAAATAGGAGCTCCGCTAAGCGGGACTCCGTCGTCCGAGCCCGTTAAAAAGTAAGAAATGAAGTCGATTGATAATCTATCGTTCAATTATATCACTAGTGAAATTATAATATCACTGCTTTGACAATATATATATATATATATATATATATATATATATATATATATATATATATATATATATATATATATATATATATATTATAAGATATATATTGTAAAGTGATATTATTGTTTTTTTTTTTTTTTTTTTCCTGCGACAGATATATTAAAACCTCAACAGCAAGAATATCATATAAGTAGCCACATTAACTTCATCCCCATTTTTTCCAAATGGGTTGATTTTTTGTACCTGACACCTTTGAAGTATAACATATTGAATGAAGTACATATAATTGGTTGTTTCACAATTGTTAAAGTGTATTGCGTAAAATACAAATGTAAAAAAATACAGTCGAATTGATAATGTTCTTATTTTTGAAGTTGCCTAAAAACATTATATTACTAAATATTTCTTGCGATCCTTATTTATTTACAGGCATCGCCGCACTCTTTGTAAGAATAATGAGTATCTGTATAACGCGCTTAAGAGCAGAAAAATTACAGCCAATTAATGATCAGCCGCCATCTTACGTCGAATGTATCACTACGAGCCCTACTCCGAATCAATCTCAAAATTTAAAGAAGGAATCGGAAAATGTGCTACCAATAGAAGATAACAATAACCAGTCACCGACAGTTCTACCAATTTAAAGTTACAATATAAATAATAAAGTAAAATTAATTTATTACAATTATCTTGACAATATAATACTTTATTATAATATTACTAAATTATATATAACTTTCTTCTACTTATTAAATTTCACTGATATTAACCAAAGAACAAGAAGTTGTTTTATTTCTAGCAGCGTCAAAGATGCAAGACATTGTTCGCCAAATTACCTTTCAAACGTGATGAATAAGGCAAATCCTCTCTACAGCCTGAGTAGCTCATTTCCAGATGGGGATTTTACGCGAAGATTTTTAGATATTTGTTCTGTATTTATTATGTATTTATTTTTATGTATCATGTACAATGCATCTTAATTTGCCCCCAGTATAATTTATATTAACAAAAACATAAGAATACTTCTTCAGACGTCTGAGAGTCCACGTGTATCTAGCGTTTCCACCGAGAAAGCAAATTTTCTAAATATTAAGCGTTAACTCTATTGACACACACATTTTTTTAATTATTAATTATAATTTACAACAGTATGTGTTTGGATAGCAGTAAATTATTACCCCTCTAGAAACCAAAGGAGCTTCGAAGTATACCATGCCAAGTAGAAAACGTTATGTGTTTTTGTAGGATTCACTGGCATATCGTAATTTCATAATAATTTATTTTTTTTTGAAAATATGATTATTAGCAAGTTAAAATCCGTCAAAGTAAGCCGTTCCCATTTAAAATTTTCCTCCACTTCTTTTTAAGAGGCAAATTGGCCATTAAAATTATACTGAACGGGAACATTTTCGAGCAATACTTTTTTCTAATTTAAATATCGCCTTAAACTTCTATGAATTGATTCATAAACTTCAAATGACATTTATCACATAAAACCCTTATAAGGCAACCGTGTACCGGTGGTAAAAAATTTACCGTGGTCGACTAACTTTGACAGATGAAGAGAGAAGTGGTACCCATTTGTCAGCTGTCATGGAAAGGAACGTGCTGGCAGTGAAAAATTTAATTAAAGAGAACAGACGAATTACTTTTGAAGAGATTCAAACTTAGACCAGTACCTATAGAAAGAAAGTCGAAGCACTGCGTATATTTCAAGTGACGCAAAAATAAAGCCAGACTCAATTCATTATAAGAACACACACTCTCGTAACATTTGCCATGAACAATATGGTTTCGTGTGAATATATGTGCGTCTAGCAGTGAACTTTTACAGGCTGATAAAGAAAGAAAGAAGAAAGACGTGTTTGTGTGTGTGTGTGTGTGTGTGTGTGTGTGTGTGTGTGTGTGTGCGCGTGGGTGTCGTGTGCGTGTGCGTATGCGTGGGGGTGTGCGTGTGCATGTGCGTGCGCGTACGCGTGCGCGTGCGCGTGTGCGTGTGCATGTGTGTGTGTGTGTGTGTGTGTGTGTGTGTGTGTGTGTGTGTGTGTGTGTGTGTGTGTGTGTGTGTGTGTGTGTGTGTGTCCTTCTTATCGAATTATATATAGAAGCTTATAATCCAAGTAATCGTTAACCCCCTCTTCAGTTCATGTAAGTAAAGTTTCTTATACATATTTGTACAGAATATTCTGAGATAGAGCCGTCCATGCATATGATGAGTTTTACTGATGGAATCATACCTTACAAGCATATTATTAAAATATATTACTATACGAGAATATTATTAAATTAAGCCTTATTGATTGCCTTGTTGGTCTAGTGGTTGTAGTGACGTGACTACTGATCATGAAGTCCTGGGTTCGAATCCCGGGTCGGGTGAAATAATTAATTATTGAGTTTTTCCGTCAAGAAATTCTCAATAGCTACCCGGAGTCAGGAAGTTGGCGGTATATCACCCCCGTGCTTCGGAAGATACGTAAAGCCGTTGGTCCTGCGCCTGATCTCTCTCAAGTCGTGTCGGTTTACCGTCCCATCTGAATATGAGAGTGATGGAATAGAGAGTCCACCTGTGCTTGCGCATACACTTGGGCACTATAATCCTGTCCTGCGTTGATGGCTAGTCTCCGGTGAGGCTGGCCTTCATGACCGAAATTCGGTCTGGAGGACATTTTTAAATTAAGCCCAAAGTAATAAAGCTTCAAACTGATAATATTACCAACTTACTCAGCTTACCAATCGAAGAAAATTATTTTAGGCAGCTAGTCTATAATAAATATGACACATTTCACGCATATGAAATCATAGTAAAATATTGGCGAATATGTAAAATATAAAAATTAATTTAATTTATGACATCTGGAGTCCTGTGAGTCAACTAAGAGATAAAAAGATGAGACGAGAAACACCGGAAAGATCTTAAGGATGTGAACAGATGGCGGTATAACCATCACGTTTAAGACTGGCAAAATGGAACGGTGATGGTGAACAATATTGAAAAAACGAGATGTCTCACAAGACGGCTTCCAATTCACCCGCAAAGTCATACGATTGTGCTCTTGCTCTGCCGTTTAAAAAAGTAGTAAGTAATAACTGCACAATATATGGGAATATATGAGGAATAACAAATATCTTTACAAGAAAAAAATTGTTTACATTTTCGTTATTAGGACTTTTGAGAACGCTAATAAAAGTGTTAAGTGTTCTAAAAATAAATTTTGTAAAAAAAAATACAGGTAAAATTACGGACACAGAAATTGAATGCATATTTTATTCAACAACGAAAAGCTGATACGGAAAATGGAGTTAGATTGTATTTAATCTCAGGAGACCGAACGTGTGAACACACATTGACACCACAACCCTAAAAGCAGTCACTCAATGGAAAAGATCCATCAATTTAAAATTCAGCATTTGGAGTCTCTCTTCAGTCTCTTGACGTAATCAGATGGAAAATACGTTTCTCATATTTATGTGTTTTATATTTCATAATGTTTTCTGAATGACGTGTTACTTATTAACATTGCCCACTGAATCTCTCCCTGTATAGGAGGATAACAGAGTTTATCTCGTATCTAGATATAATTATTGTGACTATTGTAGCCCCCATGTTCCTTATTACCCTTTCTCCAAATCATATGAATGTATAGTAAATGCTCATAATCAAAGTGCTGATATAGGAAAGTCAAGAGAAATATGTCCGTGTTTGGGTAGGCATTTTTTGAGTATTAACTGTTAGAAACATTACTTATTAAGAATGTTGCAGCTTTTAAGTGGAGACTCAGTCACAATGATGTAAAGGTCGTAAACACTGATGGTCATGAAGTCCCGAGTATTAATCCCTGGTCGAGCCAAAACAATTTATTGGAATTTTTAATAAAAAATTGTCAGTAGCCCGGAGTCAGCAAAGTGGCGGTGTTTTACACACGTGCCTTGGAAAGCAAAAAAAAAATCAGTTGAGACGACAAGCATCGATTGACGTCGATCTGCAATAAATCGATGTGGTTGTGGGCTCATCAACAGTGTATCCCTTCACTTGATAAGCTGTCACATTATGACTGCATGTTGCAAGCGGACGTTTGATGACCTGTCACATTATGACCTATCATATTATGTCTATTTTTTTACACTAAAATACTTTATTGTGGTCTATGACTTGGTAGTTTTGTAGAAATTTATATGAATATGGATAATGCTCTATAAAATAAAAGCTTTTAGCAAGTGGCCGTTACAAATTTGTATAAACTGAAATAAACATACTAATGTTTTACAGTGAATCCACTCGAAGTTCGTAAAAATGCCAAACTAAGTACTTATTGGATTTTTGTAAATATATTAATATTCCTACGCATACTTTTAAAATACAAACATATTCTCAAATGGGTAACCGAGAATTTATCCGCACACCGCCGTATTTCTTAAGATTTTTTGGATTACTTCCAAAGTTCGTATTGTTTTTGTTTTATTAAGTTAATAATTTCATAAGCAAGTAATCTGTATTATATAGAAGTACATACATTCATTCGTATTTAAAATATTTCGGCGAAACTAAATGCGTGTTCCGGCCGGTCATGATATGATCGGCTATCAAGCAGAGTCATATTAATATAGATACACCTTTTATTTGCATAATTTTGCTTAGATTTTAATTTTTCTTTTCTTTTCCTATATTAATGTTATCATTGCATATTTTTAGATAAATAAATGCACTGCATGCTTTTCAATTTTTTCAATTCATATCTTGCTTGATGACCGGTCATAATATAACAGGAAACTATATTTTTAACATTTTTGAATCGCTAAACATTTTTATGTTCCAGGATTATTTGGAGTCATTTTTTCTAATAGAAAGCTTATTTTGTGTACTTTAACAATATAAGTTCATTGTTCAATTCCTTAGCTTAGTTTTTATAAAAATGGCGTAGTTTTGAAGGTCACCTTTCCAGCCACCAAAACTAAGGGTTTAATTTTTACCTTCTATTGAAAAATAAAAGAAATGTTTGAGCCCAATCTCTGAATTCATTTATACAATCATAAATCAAGCTTATAAAAATATATATTTTGCTGTATTTGAATAAACAGAGTTAACAAAACTAACGTGCAAAGTTGACCTACTTTAGATATGTTTTTTCATGTACAAAAAAAATATCTTTTTGGAAATCGTAATTTTTCTCAACATTTTACTATAAAAGATACAAATATTTTTATACTCACTTATTACTAGATAGTAAGAGGTGAAATAAAGTACAGAAATAAAACAATAAATTGTTTGATTATTTTTCTTTTAGATCGGAAATTCATAAATAACACTTTTTCTTTTTTTACTTACATATAGTTCGGTCATATTATAATAGTTTCGAATAAGGGTACGTTCAAATTATAGGAAATTTATTTAGGTTTTTCCAATGATATACAAGGTGTTTGGAATATGTGAACAATGACACCGTAAAACTAATAAAAAAAGAACATAGGTCTCACCGCGCGAAGTTATCTTAAAACGGCCTATCAAATTACGACAACATAGCGCTTACCCGCTCATCAGGTGAGGGGGTATTTTAAAACAATGTCGGTGGAGTGATGCGGGTTCTCAAATAATCAAGCAGCTCGATCGACGTTGATCACTCCATTCTAACACTGATTGATAGATGTG